AAATTGATAAATGAGATTCCATCAAGATTTAGAACTTTAAATGACATCGTTAAAATGAAAAGTAGTCCTTAAACAGACCCTATTTACAATGCATATAACCTATGACCACAATATATAAGGATCTCTTGCAGCTCATTAGTAGACAACTAAATTAAAAAGTAGACACAAGAAGATGATAAATAGCCAGTACAGCACAAGGAAAGGTGTGCAACACTAGAATCAGAAAAATACCCATCATGAACAATAACAAGACTGAATTATATACTCATTAGGGAGATGAAGTTAAAAGTTTTAAAAGCCTTGTCATGACTTTTTCTTTTTGTTTGATTCTCCCCCTTTCCATTTAATTTGTCACACCCAATGGATTCATTCTGCTGGGCTTCCTGAGGTTGTGATCCTCATTGTCTTTTCCTAGGATATTGCCTAAAATTTTTTGGAGGGCTGGTTTGGTATTCATGAAGTTCCTAAGGTGCTCTTTATCATGAAAGTATTTTATTTCTCCATCAATTTTGAAAGATAGTTTTCCAGGGTACATCAATCTGGGTTGGAGGCTGTTTTCTTTTAGGGCTTGAAATACATCACTCCAAGCTCTTCTTGCCTTGAGTGTTTGCATTGAGAAGTCTACTGTGATTCTGATGGGCTTTCCTTTGTATGTGATTTGTTTCTATTCTCTCACTGCTTGTAGAACTTTGTTCTTCTATTGGGGTTCTGGAATCCTAAGTATTATATGTGTAGAGATTTTTGATCAAGGCTAGTTGGAGTCCTTTATGCCTCACTTATCTGTATGTCAAGTTCTTTTCCCCTCCTTGGGAAGTTTTCTGCCATCACTTCTGTGAACAGCTTTTTTATGTCATCTGCACTCTCTCTTGTTTCTTCATTGACTCCAATCAGTCTTATGTTATTCTTCTTCACATCGTCTAGCAGCTGCTGGATTGATTTCTCATGTTCTCTTACAATTTTAAAGCAATTTTTCTTTTCCTGTTCAATAATTGCAATCTTATCTTCTATAGCTGAAATTCTGTCCTGACATTGGTTCATTCTGCTGTGTAAACTTTCAATGGAGTTTTAATCTCCTAGAAATCTGTTTGCATCTGTTTAATGGATTCCATTTGTTTCATGGATTCCATTTGTTTCCTATGTTGGGATTCTTCATGTTCCTCAGATCCTCTATTTTTTATCTGTGTCCTCTCTAGATTTATTAATCATGTCTTGCACTACAGGCACAATCTTTGCTGGTATCTGAGAAATTGTTTCTGATTTCATTTTTTCCAGATCCTCTTTTGTTGCCAGTTCAGGGAGTCCAGGTGGTTAAGTATCAGATTGTTCCATCTTGTTTCCCTTGGGGTTTCTGTATGTGATCTGGAAGTCAGTTTTTGAGGCTTCTTTATGTGTCTTTTCCTTTCCACGGGGTGTGGGGGAGTGTTACTGTCACCTGTGCAGCTCACCTCCTCTGGCCAGGGAGCTGTGGAATGGCATACCAGGAGCCTCCTCCTGAGCACTGGGATTGGCTCACCTCCTCTGCCCTAGGAACTGTGGAATGGTGTTCAGGAGCCTCCTCCTGGGCGCTGGGATTGACCTACCTCCTCTGCCCTAGGAGCTGTGGAATGGTGGTGGGGGAGACTCTTTCTGGGCACTGGAAAAACTTTTTTTAAAAAAACTATGTTTTTTGTTTTGTATAGACTATTTCTTGTCCGTTGTATTATGTTTATACATGTATGCATGGTTTTAATGTATTACTATAACTTTACAATAGGTTTTGAACTGTTAAATTTGCATTTTAGACTGCTTGTTTTCTCCAGAATGACGTTATGCATTACAGCTTTTGTTTTCTTTTTGTAAAGGCACTTTCTAAATCATTTGTGACTCTACCATAAAAATACATATCCTGTGTGTTCATCATCATAAGAAAACTTATGCCTGTTTCCAGTTATTTACTATCTAACCCCTATCCCATCCTCATAGTCCCTGAAAGATGCGGCTCTATTTTCTGTGTGTATTGTATGGATAATGTAGATACTATAAGTCCCCGGTGTCACACATACTAAGGTTTTTGTGTCTATTACCATATTTTTCAGTGTATATTCATGCAGTAAGAAAGATATTAATTCCATCCATTTTACAGGTTAAAAATATCCCATATGTGGATATACCAGTAATACTACTAGATTGACATTTATGCATTGACAGACTTTTGAGTAGTTTCTAAATTGTGGTTATCATTAGGAATTTTTATTGGCATCAGATTGCATGATTTTTATGCAAATGTGTACTTGCAAATCTTTTAGTTAATTACCAATGAGAGAAATTATATGATGACTTCCTTTTGGTAATTTCAGAATCTATGAAACTATTTGTAGGCTAGCTATGAAATTTCACAATCTCATCATCAACTTTGAGAGCTTCAGTTTTTCCACATTCTGGATCAACATATGATACTGTGCAATTTTTATCCCAAGCATAGAGGTTGGCACAAAGCTCATAAAACTGAAATTATTTTGTGAGGCAGATGAATTTTGATACATGCATTCTCTCTCCATTCTCTGAAGCATATGAAAAATATTCAGGAATGCCTAATCCATAAAGACAGAAATAAATTTGTCTTCACTTTGACTAAGAGAGAGAGAGGCAAATGCAAAAATAAAAAGAGATAGCTTAAAAAGTTTGGTGTCCCTTTAGCAATTTAGAAAAATGATGTAAAATGACATTGTACTGATGTTTGCACTTGCTTTGATTGTAATGTACTGATCAATAATGGACATTTTACTTTTAACTGATAAGATTATTGATACTTGAAGTAGTAAAATAAATTTGTTAAAAAGATTTTCTCAAGATTTAGTTACAAAATGCTAAAAATATTATAAATGCTGTCTAAAATGTTACATATAAATGTTATCTTGCATGAAGAAGAACTAATGAAAAAGACACAGGGCCCATTATTATTCCGCTTAAATAAAAGGAGAGAAATGACTCACCAGGGCATGAACAGCAAGGAAAATGGAGGTAAATCTCCCCAGGGTCTCAGTGCACCCGCTCCTGTTTTGGGTCCCTGGAAGGTCTGGCTCCTGGGCCTCATGATCATGCTGAGTGCTCTTCTGTTATCCTCAGCACCCTTTGGAGTGACTGAGCATCTCCCGGTTGAACCAAGCACAGCCTGTTAGTCCTGATCATGCAAGAAGTGAAGTTTGTGTCAGGGCTTAGACTGACTGCTTCTCACTGTGGATTCCAAATTCCTGCCAGACTTTTACCAGGATCCCTGAGACTCCTTAGGATCTGGTCCTGATGACCACAGCAGAATCATTTTTAGCTAAATTGTCAAATTGTGTTTTGCATAGTTAAGAATGTATTCTAATTAAACAAAGGTGTCTAATAAGACACATCAGAGGTAAGCACAGATATATGAAATCAGAGTGTCTGGGAGTATTATGTAGAGAAGAACTCTCTGATCTTAACAGGAAAACAACTTTCACATTCCTCTAAATCTACTCTTGGTTTTCTCTGCATGCCCAGAGCCCCCTGCTGGTCCTAAACTTCCCTGCAGGAAGGTTTGTGTCTGGGCTCACACTGATGTCCCCTCACTGTGTCTCTCGCACAGTAATACACGGCCGTGTCCTCAGTTCTCAGGCTGTTCATTTGCAGATACAGCGTGTTCTTGCCATTGTCCCTGGAGATGGTGAATCGGCCCTTCACGGAGTCTGGGTAGTTTGTGCTACCACCATTTTGGTTAATGTTTCCAACCCACTCCATCCCCTTCCCTGGAGCCTGGCGGACCCAGTTCATCCAGTAGTTACTGAAGGTGAATCCAGAGGCTGCACAGGAGAGTCTCAGGGACCCCCCAGGCTGCACCAAGTCTCCCCCGGACTCCACCAGCTGCACCTCAGCTTGGACACCTGCAAACACAGAGACATACTGCTCAGGAAACTGTCACACACGTCCACTGTTTCTCCCACTCATCTTCATTCATACACTCAGTATCTCTTGTGCAGCATGAATCACCTTTTATAATAGCAACAAGGAAAACCCATCTCAGCCTAAGCCCCATGGTGAGCTATCTGCTCAATCCTGATCACAGAGTGGGAGCAGCTGTGCATCCAGGGCTGGTCTTCTCTGCAGAGCTGCAGGGTCAGGCCTGGGCTGGTTTTCATCAGCAAAGGGAACTGGTATTTGCATGGGCTCTTGCTATATATATAGCTCTGTTGTGGAAGCCTCAGCTAGAGATGGGTCCAGAGCACATAAGTGTTACAGGTGTTAATTTGTAACATTCATAATAAGGAATATAGGATTTCTTATTATGTTCATGAGTTGAGATGAACACCTAACCTCATTAGTTTTCTCATAGTTAGGTATGTATGCAGTAAATGGATTTGGTCATTTCCTAAGTTTTGTAGGTGTGTACCTAGAGCAAGAAGCATAATAGATGTGAGATAGGACCTCACACATGATAAGAATATATCATATATTTGGCCCTATATCCTTCTCATAGCATCTACCTGATCCATGAGCAATTCTAAGGCAGAGCATTTTAGTGATGTTTCCAGACCTCTTTCTCTAAGAGAACATGACATCATTTTCCAGTATCTAATGATTTCCTAAATAAATAGACAACTAGGATTCTTCAAGCCTATATTCCACTGTGATATAACCTGTTCTATTGTGAATCTCTTCATTCATATTGTCAAAATTATGTATTTAAGGGCCGGGGATTTAGTTCAGTGGTTCCGCCACCTGCCCTGCAAGCGCAAGGAACCAAGCTCGATCCCCGGCACCAGAAAAAAAATTATGTATGTTATAAGTAATGATTTTAATAATGACCAAATGAGATACATTTTAACATGAATACATAATTTGTTAAATATTACCAGTCATCCCATGATCATGTAAAACAATGTAGAAGTACCCATAAATTCTTCTATAATTTTGTCAGTTCTTCTTCCTGTGTCTCCCTTTGTTCCGGCCTTTCCTTAACTGAAACATTTATTCCTGCATTAGACAATCCTTTCTCATGGTAACAAAATAGTAGATTAATTTTTGATGATGGTGATTATCATGATGATGGATTTCAAAGCACATAAGTACTTAAATTTCAGTTTTCTTTCTGTCACATACAAGTTGGGATCATCCTTTGACTGAAGTGACTAGGAAGGAGGTGAAGATACAAATGATGAGGTAAATATATATGTATAATAATTGGACATCAACCTAAAACATGGCCATGGGGTTTCTGTGTTATCCAAGAATTTTGACCCTGTGACCATCACTAGGAAAGTCTGTGGGTGTGTCTCATTTTCCCTTGACACCCGCTCTCTTTTGAAAGACAGAGAATTTCCTTTAATTTCTTTCTCCTATGAAATGTTTTGATTGTGTTAGAAGATTCTTGAAGGATGCTTGGTTGTTCTGTAGTTAAGAGAATACCTTTCCTTCAAGTAGGATAATTATTTTTCAAAAGTCCTTCCTTGAGTATCCTCTGTCTGTGTCCATCTCTCAGTGATGAGTCCTCCATTCCTCTGTCACAGGTTTATGTGATCACTTGAACACTTCCCTTGAAATCCCAAGGGGTTCTGTAGGTACCATGTGGGCTGTGTGGCCCCCAGGAGCATGGTGTGACCTCATCCTGGGCCCCTCTTTTCCTCCAATCATCCATCATCACTCCTCAGTGCTCCCTCCACTGTGTTCCTCCAGCTCTTTCTGCACCAGGAAGCAGGGCTCACCTGTGACTCTGGATCTTCCTGTCTCTCCAGGTTTCCTTGTGATCATTAGTTTGAAATTTTCTTTAATTCACAGGCCTCTGAACACATTGTGATGTTATTTTTTTCATATTTTGGTAGATTTGAGTATGTGGGTAATAATTTTCAGTGTCTCAACAAGTTAGAACAAAATCCAGAAACTCCTTCAGTGGCCAAATTTGAACTCTTAATTGAGTGAGAGGCCTAAAGACAATAAGTGAAAATGGTATTTGCACAATCATGACGGAACACTAAAAATGGAAGAAGAAAAGAGAAGAAAACCCATGAAAGTTTTTTTAGAGATTTCAGGGATCTTCAGGTAGCTGGAATGTAGATGGTCCAACAGGGAGGATCTGGCTAAGTCTCAAGTGAGGTCATATTCTGGAAGATGTCTCTGTCCTTGGTTGCAAATTACAGGTGCACCTAGGATAGCACAGCAGGAACAGGATATACCTGTCCTTAAATACAGGACACATCAGTGATGATGATAGTCCAGGTGAGGTTCAGAGCAGGGTGTAGACGTGGAGGTGCATTTGGCTTTCCAGGATGAGTGTGACCTTGAGGTCCTGGGTCAAAGCTGTGGGATGGGGTCCATGTATGAGAACATCACCTCAGCTCTGCATGTGGGAACCATGCATGTGTGGGCATTTGGTGTGCAAATGATTTTCTTCTGCTCACTATGTAACTGTGTCTCCATTACTTTTCTCATCTCTGAGAAAAAATACACAACACATAAATTCAAGGATGAAAGGTTTATTTTGGCCTGTAGGTCATAGAGGTTTCAGTGTATAATTGGCTGGTTCCAGTGGTGGGGTGACATGGCAGAGGGGCAGCACAGAGGGAAACCCATTCATGGCAGGTAGAATATAGCAAAAGCAGTAAGCAGCAAGGACAAGGGACACACTAGCCCTCTTTTATCTCCCTTATATTTTTAGCCAGGATACCCACCCTTAGGGCAGATATCATTCACACTCAAGATGGGGCACCCATAATCCTACCCAGAACTGTGCCAAACAAATCAGTGACTAATTTGGTAGTCACACAACCTGAATCTCAGCACCACACAATCTACATCCAGCCACCTCTGAAAAAGACCCACCTATGATGGCATGAGGATTTGGGGGACATCTAGATGCAAATCATAACAGCATCTCTTTTATTAATGAAAAAATTCATATTTTTCATGATAGATTATGTCCCATGCAGTCACTGGGCCACCAGGTAACTGATTAGCAATGATACACCCAGAGACATCAGTGTTGGCCTCTGTAGCAGGCAGGTTGAAC